TCTCCCCTCCCTATTCCCCGCCCTGTAGGATCTTATTAAATGGCAGATTGCCACAGTCACAGCAGGAAAGAAACAGCCTGCCCAAGTACGGGAAAGGGGATAAAAATGTCAGAGGAAGTTGTGGCGAGTATGTTAAAACAAGCTTGTCACCGACAGCAGAGTTGGTGTTGGGATACGCTGAAGGTGTGATCAGTCGGCTTGAAGCGGAAAGAGCATCTTGCAGCTGAGCAGAGAATGTTTCCAGTGTCTGTTGGCCATTTTCTGGCTGCAGTATCATTTGATTTGTAGAGTTCCTGTCTCCCCTAAAATGCCTTAATTATAGAGGCCCCTGCCCCCCAGTAACATGTTGCTTTATCATCTTAACAGATCTCAGCTATGGGCCTCCTAACTCCCACCCAGTCACACTCCCCAACCTGCAATCATGACGTTTCTGGAAGTTATTTAAACCCCCTCTATTTCCAGGGGGGCTTATAACTGACAACTCCTCAGTCCTCACACCCCCTTCCACTGGGAAGTGGCCTCTGAGAAATTAATTTCATTAACCTGAAAACGTCCCAGTGGCAAATCCAGCGCTGTTGTGAATGTACGTACATGGTGCCCTCTTGATGCATTTTAGTGCTTTAGGCTGTCTCCTGTCCACTGGGGCGTGTAATTGGCACAAGTTCTGCTTGTGGACGGGCAATGGTAGGCCCTGGCCTGTCTGACAGGCAGCTGCGAGGAAGATTCTGGACCAAGGGGCTTGTTTGTGAATGTCTCATCTTCCATCGAGTTCAGCCTCCTTCCCTCTGCCTGGCCCAGGCCGTTCTGGGAGCGCTCTCGAGGAGGGGGTGACCCGGACATGGAGGCAGCGTGATTGCCTGGGGCTGTGCGCACTGCACCTCAGCAGCCTGGCAGAAGAGTCGATTGTGAGCTCCCTTCCCCCAAGGGTGACTGGCTCTGAGCGGCCTGAGCCCTAGCACAGCCGCGCTTGTTATCCGCCAGCATAGCGGGCTCCCAGGGGAGCC